GATAAAATTCAGAGAAGTTAGAAAGTGCTCTCAGATAAAGAACATAAGAACAGCCTGAATACAAAACAAATCCTACGTTCTGGTCTGCTTTCCTAAGTGCATTCTGCCCATAACATGCTGTGCCAGGCCTTTTTCCTCCTACCCAGAATTCTCTCCCTTATTCCTTAGTCAGTTAAAAGTCCACTTATTCTTCAGAGTCCATTTTTAGTCCCACATACTTCTCCCAAATTTCCTAATTTCCTACTCAAGCATCTACTATGCACAAAATAAACTATGCAAAGCAGGTGTTTCAGCAATTATTGCTTATACTTCTCATTCTGCTTAATCAAACCTTTGGTAGAATCTGTTTCAAGTGTGTCAATCTTGTTTCTCTAACCAGACTACAAGCCTTGTGAGGACACCATGTGTTTTGCTTCTTTTAAAGTCTCCCACAGAAATGACTCCAAGAGACATTTTTACATTGATTTAAATGCCAGGGAGGAAAGAACATGATATAATTCTTGGGGCTGAGGACAATTTTTTTATTACTCTGGAAGAAAATAGGGAAATTCATTAGCTGAGCTTTATGGTTATACCTTAATCTAACTAAATACAAATACTCTCTATTTATTGGGTAGAAATAAATGATTATAAACCCTAAATGTCTTTGATCCAGCTTTATTCAAATTAAAATAAAACCAGAACAAGTAGTTTAGCAGGAGTCCTGAGAGAAACTGTGAAAAAGTGTTGTTGAGAATTTCAAACATTTCATTAAAAATTAACATTTGTTTTGATAGATTAAAAAGTTAATAAATATTTGCATACCAGTTATAAAATTTAAGCTAAATTTGTACAACTTCTATACCTTGAAATCATAAACTTAGAGTTTATCCAAATCTATTTGTTAAGAAGAGCACAGGGCTTTCCTATAATATTAAAAGTTTGTTTTCATGATTCCAAAGATTGTCAGCATATAACCTTGAAACTATAAATATTTGTTACTGTAAATTTTATTTGTAAGTGCAGAAAAATTAATTGTTCAGATAAAGGTAAAAACTATGTTTGCCATGGGAGGCTGATCCCACAAAGCCTTGCAGACACTGACCTTCTGACCGTAACTGCTCTGACCTGGTTCTGAACACTCAACCTGCACAATGCTGGGCAGATTCTCTTAAAGTTAAGTACATGCACTCCTCCTTGTAGGAATTTATTTTACAAATTAAATTAAGTAACTCCAATATGCTTTCAAACATGGTGCACGATTCTGATTTTCTTCAATGTCTATTACAGTAGAAGCACTCTCAACCTGTCTACAAAACCAACTTGTCTGATTAGCTGACTCTCAGTATTTTCTCTACCTGTACACCCCTCCTGCTACCAGACTAGCTGTGTTTTCATCAGGAGTCATTTGGTTTGTTCCCACACCAGTTTATATCAGTTGTACAAGTTACTGAAATTACATAATTTAATTAAAATTTAGGTAAACTAATGAAGTCTGTGCACAGAGAGCAAACAGGTTCTCCTTTCTATAAAAATCAAGTCAATTAAAAGCTAGGTGCTATTTTTAAATACTGTTGTGTTAGGCATCTGTGAAGTAACTGTAAAAAAGAATAACAAGAACACTAAAATCTAGAGATGTTCTGCATTCAGGCTGCTTCACAAGTGTCAAGTTCTTGCTCCACTTTGAAGAAAACAAATCTGGCAATGGTGGGTGATGCAGTTCAGATGGGTTTTTACTAGAAACACCAGAACTCCAGCCAAGGGCCATACTCAGAACAAAAGACTGGCAAACAAATGTACATGCATATGTTTTAAGTTAAAATAGACTGTGTGTGTACTTTTGTGACTCGATATTTTAACCAACTCTGTATAACTGACCAATTACTATGAATTAGTGACTTTGGATATGATGCTTCTACTCGACTTGCTAATTAACATGGTTGTAGAGATTCCACAAGTGCTTAGTTAGAGACTGCAACATTATTAATCAATTTATATGCTAGACTACTGTCAGTGCACAGCTGGAAAAATAGAAACATAAAGCAGGACTGTGGACAAGGTGGAAGACTGGAGGAGATGACCCATAACTTCCTTTATGTTTGTTTTCTCAAGAAGCTATGAATTCTTCCACCTTTAAGTTTTTGTTTGTTTTTAGCATTCAACATTTTTTCGGCATAGAACAAGAACTTATTTACAAATGAAATAACATAAAAATCAATACCAGGGAGGAACCATTGGCTACTATTCTCAAAACAAAACACAGCTCTTCTTCAAGGTGTAGCTTAAGAAAACCAAGGAGAACAGAACTGGTCATCAGTAGAATCGCACATCTCAGCACCACATCTCAGCACCCGGCCAGGCCAGGGGTGGTCCCAACTCTACTGGCTGTTGCCAGGTCTCCGGTTTCTACCTCCTGAGATCTCAGCCCAGTCAACAGTGAGGTGATTCCAGGAGCAAAAAGCCCATGGAATTAGGGCAGCTCTTAGTGAAAGGAGAACATAGTGTTTGGAACACCTACCCCAACTTTAGGAATCAACCATCCCAGTCATAACTGATATGTCTCAACCAGGCACGCATGCCTCCCTAAGGAGGGAGTGGTCCTTCACAGGAGGCCTGGGGTAAGTGAGGCTGAGATATCTGTGTTCTGAGAACTCCTATGAGAGATTCTGATCCACTCTCGAATTAAGAATTTAGGGCTTCATGAGGTCCGTGAACTTCCTGAAATCAATTGCAAATGAGTGTGTATGCAAACACATGTTCAGTATTCTGGAACCCTTGTCCATTGCCTCCATCAAACTGTTTTCATCAAATTTTCATAATGCGAAAAATGTGAAGAATCATTGTTCTGAAATCAATCCAAGTCTTCACTACCCTGGCTGTCCACATAGTCCAGAGGAAAGCCGAGGAGAACCTGGACATCAGCAATCCTGCACAGAGGCTTCCTGTTGTATTTCTTTCTTTCTCACTCCAATTTTTTTCCTCCTCAGCTCCAATCTGTTCTTATTTCTGCACGTCTATTTTTAAATTGAAAAACTTTGATTTCAAAATAACTATAATCTTAGAACTCCTCAGATAAAAGACACCGAAAATTCAATTTCCAATTTCCTTTATCCCACTTCTCCCATTCTTCATGGTTTTGTTATTAAAACATTAAAAAAAAAAAAAAAAAAACTTAAGAGCACTTTTTGATCTGTTTTTCCTATTAAGTGAATGACTTGACCAAACATACGTACCTTTATTTTAATTACCAGCATCCTGGCTTGCCTA